ATACTGAGCAACGTTCTATCACAGAGCTACAGCCCCGCAGTCTCCGAGTCTTTGCCAGGCCAGCGGTGTAGGAAATTAGCAGATTGAAAGGATATTTTGTTACTCATTTCTGAAGCGCTCTCTGACAAATATTTGTCATCCCAATACTCAGGAGGCTGAGTCAGGAGGATCTTGAGTTCAAGGCCAGCCTGGGCTACACAGCGAGACCATGTCTCAAAAAGAAATGAAGATATCCTGTCAAGAAACGCCTGCATGATAGTGATTTTTCCTCACACTGTGTGGGGTGGGGGGATACAGGGCGCAGTACAGAGATTCCTGCAAGGCTTGCAGAAAGTCTGGCGTTTTTAAACTCTGCCCTCCTTCTACTTTTTAGAATCATGAGGCCATTCAAAGGACTGTTGCCTGGATTTGTACCAAAATTCTCACTTTGCAAGGTCGATACTGCAGCTTAGCTGCTAAAGACTGAGGTCATTTGTGGCTTCATATTAAGGATGAATTACTAAGATAAAAATAACCAGGCTCAGGGGCACACACGTGTAATCCCAGCACTTGGGAGGCTGAGGCAGGAGGATCGCTGCAAGTTCAAGGGCTCCATCACGAGACCTTGGGCTACCTTGCGAGACCTTGTCCCCCACAAAAAAACAATGCAACAAAAAAGATCTGAATGTTGTCTCCTGTGTCCGTTTGCTAAGTACAAACGCGTGATTTCTACCATTCTGTGATGTCCTGTCACCTGGCTGAACTGCAATTGGTTTTTTTGTTTTGTTTTGTTTTTGTTTTTCGACCCTGGGTGCAGGCGGGATCGCGGTAGTGAGGATCAAGCACCCCTCCTGCCCCCACCTGGGAGACGGGTGGCCCTGGTGTCCAGTCACGCAGGTCTCTCTTCACCTCTGACCCCGCGTCCTCCAGCTGCGAATCCTGCCTTTATCTGGGTTTTCTGGGAGATTTCGTCAAGTGCAGGGGCAGAGAGATTAGGACCCTAATGAAATTCCGCTTCGTGCTGATAGGATGTGATAAACCCTTGGGCTTATCCAAGAGGGCCATTTAATCCCAATAAATTGAAAACCATTTCTAGTTTTCATTATGGTGGTGATATCTTCGTCAGGTAATAAGAGCTCTATTTTAATTCTATACATAAATATAAATCTGTGACCTTATAATAGCAAATTACACAACTGCTTGTAGCTTCTTCCTATTTTTTCTTTTTCTGGTACCTGGGATCGAACTCAGGATCTTGCACCTGCCAGCCAGGCGCAGTGCCACTGAGCCAAATCCCTGGCCCACCTTCTTCCTATTTTTAATATCACCCTTTGTAGCCCCAGCTGGCCTTGGACTCAAGATCCTCCTGCCTCAGCCTCCCCAATGTTGGGATTACAGGCAAGCGCAGTGATGCCTGCCTCATTTGCATACTTTCTTTATAAATCAAGTAGCTCTCTAGATCAGTGTGTGTGGACTCCTCCTGCTTCTTCCTTGAAGCATGGCAGCCTCAGGGCCAGTAGCTGAGCTGACCCTAAAAGAGGAGACTGTCGGGCACGGTGGCGCACGCCTGTGATCCCAGCACTCGGGAGGCTGAGGCAGGCGGATCACCAGGCGTTCAAGGCCAGCCTGGACTGCATAGCAAGACCCTGTCCCAAAAAGAACAAGAAAAATTCCTGTTGAAAAGAGAATATATAAATAAAAAGGCACTGCCTCTCCTGTCCTGAAACTGGGGGCTCGGAGCTGAAACGTCTCGGCCTGGCTCAGCCTTTGTTTGCTCGGTGGCGGCTGTGTTTCTGCGGGTGGGAGGAGAAGAGGCTCCTGCTGATAATGTACTGAGAGTAAATGAAATTAAACAAGCACAGCCGCGCTCCCCGCTCCTTCCTCCCCCGGGTGATTCAATTCGAGAGCCGCCGCCTCCGAGGGTCGGGCAGAGGCTGTGTCTGTCCCCCGCTGGGGCCTGCAGTCTGCGCATGGCGACGCCAGCCTCCCCTGAAGCATTTTTTATGCTCCTGCCAGCGGGATCAGCCGGCTGGTGTGGGCGCGCTAATGTCACCTCCATCCCGGGGCCGCTCCCCACGCGCGCTGGCCATGTCGGCCCATTTTCATAAGCATAGATGTTCCATAAAACGGCATTTAGATTTGCATTAAAAAGGAGGTTTGAATTCTAATAGCACATTTAACGTGGCTCTTATGATTCATATTCTTGGCGACTTTAACTCGAGGCTGTGTCTCTAAGTCGAACAAGACCTTTAAGGAGAAGAAGCGCCTGGCGCGGTGGCGCACAGCTGTCGGCCCAGCGCTCGGGAGGCTGAGGCAGGAGGATCGCTGCGAGTTTGAGCCCAGCCAGGGCTACATATCAAAACCCTGTCTCAAAAACTCAAAAGAAGGCCGGGGATTTAGCTCAGTAGCGCCGCTGCCTGCCTCGCAAGCTCAATGTCTGGATTCGATCCCCGTTACCAAAAACAAAACAAAACAAAACAGAGCTTCTCCTCCTGACGCCCAAGCCTGGCCGAATCTGCTGCTGTTTTCTAGGAAGTGGCTTCAGAAGGAAACCACTGCAGAGGGGCAGGAGGGGCGGAAGACTCCTGGGGAGACAGCGCCCCCTTGCGGCGGCCCGCCTCCCACCGCGCCCCGAGGCCATCCGGGGATTCAGGGGGGTCACGGTTTGCTCACCGTGAAACACACAAAGCAAACCGCCCTGAGCAGGGGCCTGGGCATGGGGACCACGGGATAACGAAGCGGACACGTGACACGCTAAAAATGCCAAGCTCTGATCTGTATTTGTTCAAACTACGTGTAAAACATCTTAATAAAGAAAAAGGCAATCTTAATTGCATTTTAAACTGTCTTAAAAATGTTATTTTTTTAAACAAAAAATTGGTAAAGCAAAAAGTATCACCGCAGACACCACTGAATAAATGTAGATGCGCAAAAAACTAATTGCTGAAATGGCCAGAGGTGATGCCTCACACCTGTAATTCCAGCACTCAGGAGGCTGAGGCAGGAGGGTCACCTTGAGTTCAAGGCCAGCCTGGGCTACATAGTGAGGCCCTGACTCACCTCACTCTTGATTAGCTTGTTCGTTTGTTTGTTTTGTACCGGGGATCGAACTTGGGACCTTCCACTTTCAAGGCAGGTGGCACAACCACTGAGCTAAATCCCCGGCCCCCTCACCTCTTTGGGTTTATAGTGGGGTGGTTGAGACAGGGTCTCACTATGTAGTTGGAACAGACCTGGAACTCACTATGGAGCCCAGGCTGGTGTCCAACTCACAGCGATCCTCCTGCCTCAGCCTCCCGAGCGCTGGGATGACAGGCGTGAGACACCACGCCCAGCACCTCACTCTTAAGTGAAATGAATTGGACACATGCATTGTTTCTCTGGTGTGAGAAACCGAAAGTGGAAATAAGGACTAAAAAATATATAATAGATACTGGGAAATGGTAAGAAAATGTTCATCTAGGAAGGGGATCAAGGGAGGAGGGAGGGAGAGAGGAGGAGACAAGAAAAAATGAAAATAGGAGGAAAACACGGAAACAGCGCTGTTTTTGTACATGGGGGTGTTTGGGGTGGGACATGGGATAAAATAAAATAAAATTTATTTTTAAAAAAATAGTAAAATTTAAAAATGCTAAAATAAATTGTGTGATTGAAAAAAATGATCTCACCGAAAGTCCCAAGACAGTGTATAGATAGCCAGCTGACCCCTACAGGATTCTTAGTTGGGTTTGGTTTTGGTTTTGGTTTGCTTATAAAAGTTTTAAAACAAACCACAAGAGGGCCGGGGATTTTGCTCAGTGGTTCCGCCGCCTGTCTTGCAAGTGCAAAGACCTGAGTTCGATCCCTAGTACCCCCAAAACACACACACACACACACACACACACACACACACATACACACAGACTTGGGCTTGGGAACTAAAACGTAAGTAGGAAGTAATATTCTGCCAGCTCACTCCTCCTCTCTTCCTAACTAAGAAACAGAGTTAGGCTGGGCGGTGCCCGGGGTAGCACTTACGCTCAGTGTGCCTGAGGCCTCGGGTCTCAGTGCCAAATGCAGAGTTTTGTTTTTTAAAGGTTTTCTGTTTGGCAGGGGTGGGGAGAGATTGTCCTTCGTTTTTTTGTTTGTTTGGTTTGGCTTTGTTTTTTGAGACAAGGCTTCACTGTGTAGCCCAGGCTGGCCTTGAACATGCAGAGATCAGCCTGCCTCAGCCTTCCCAGTGCTGGGATCACTGTCAGGAGCCACCACACCCAACTTTTGATTTCTCAGTAGCTCTACAGGGAATGAGGCTGCTGAAACCCAGGAAGGTCAGCAGCACCGGCAGAAGTTGACGCTGATTACAGGGATCTAAGGTCCTAAGAAATCTAATATCGTGAGGCTCCCGTAGTTTGAAGAAACCCAGACTAGGCGGTTACTGCCAGGTTCACCTCACACAGTGAACTTAATAAAATTCAAAACTCATGTTCCTAAAACTGGCTGTTTGTTTAAAAAAAGAAAAACAAAGGTGACCAGGCATGGTGGTGGCACATGCTATAATCTCAGCACTCGGGAGGCTGAGACAGGCTGATCTCTGCGAGTTCAAGGCCAGCCTTGGGCTACATAGCAAGACCCTGTCTCAAAAATAAAGTAAGTGTTTTTCAGGGCGTGTGTTCATTGCCCCCTCCAAGACTGCATTTGCCGTAGAGTCTGCTGCTCATGAAAGCCTCGTGGGCCGGCGGCTGTTCATTTGCTCTTGATGGTCTTGGTGGGGATCATCCGGGTTGGGGCTCACGTCTCCCGCAAATGCTTAGCTCCTGGAGTCTTTCTCCTGCCAAGCAGTACATATTCCTGCACCTCCCCTTGCCGCAAATTAATGTAGGCTTAGATCCCGTTGCGCGACCGCAGCATTAGCTATGAGGACGAAGAAAGAAAGGTCATGAACTTTTCCCCGGTTGCAGTGGCCTCCGCGGTGGCCCCGGTGAGGGGGGCGGGGGGCAGGGGACTCCCCAGGCTCTGACAAGTCTCGCTGTCGCTCCTTCCAGGCGCGGAGGACGTGCTGAGGGCCGCCCAGGACCTGGACAGCGTCCTCAAGCAGGGCTACCTGGAGAAAAAGAGCAAAGGTACAGGCTCCGACCGCGGCGGACGGCCAGGAAGGGCAGGGTGGAGAAAACGCCCTGGCGACTGTGCCAGGGCGGCAGGATCGGGTCGTAGACTCCAACCTGCCCCAACATAGGGTCCGGCCTCGCTCACCCCGGCCTCCCGGGTCTGCTAGGAAAACACACTTAAACAGGACGAGGTGGTGCACTCCGTCAACCCAGCACTCGGGAGGCTGAGGCAGGAGGGTCACTAGGAGTTGGAGGCCAGCCTGGACTATGTAGGGAGACCCTGTCGCAAAAAGACAAACCCAGAATGTTAAAGCACGTCGTGGAGCATTTGGAAAGCGCAGGATGAGACAGAGGAAGCTGGATAAGAAGACAGCAGGGGAGCCCAGGAGGGAGGGCGGCCCTCAGAACCTGGCCCCGCAGCCAGCCGGCTCAAGCCGTGCAGGGGACCTGTGGGAACACAAGGGTTTCACAGCCCATTAACCTGGGAAATAAAACAACAACACGCCGATGCAGGTGGTGGGGCTCGCGGACGGGCGGTGGTTACCTGAATTTATGTCTCCCGCTCTGTCCAGACCACAGCTTCTTCGGGCCGGAGTGGCAGAAGCGCTGGTGTGTGCTCCGCAGAGGCCTGTTCTTCTACTACGCCAACGACAAGAGTACGTGGGGGGTGGGGCACCCCGAAACTTCTCCTGCACGTACACTCTGGTCAGCACCCTAACTAATACCAGCCAGGGTACATAAGTCCCAGCACCCCCGGGGAACACAGAGCCGGTTTCAGGTCTCTTCCTTTGTAAACAGGAAGGTAGCGTGGTCCATATACCAAAGGGTTATCTTTTATTATGATACCGGGAATTGAACTCAGGACCTTGCGCTTGCCAGGCAGGTGCAGTGCCACTGAGCTAAATCCTCAGCCTCTGAGCATTCTTTAAAAAAAAAAAAAAAAAAAAAAAAAAAAAATAAACTCTTAAACATAAAAAAAAAAAAAAGTTCGAACTCTTAAACCAGGCATGGTAGCTCATGCCTGTAATCCCAGCACTCAGGAGGCTGAGGCAGGAGGATCTCCGCAAGTTCAAGGCCAGTCTGGGCTGCCCTGTTTCAAAAAAAAAAAACTTAACTCCTGTAGTATGCTAAAATTTTGAGGGGGACGAGCTGGAGATGTAGCTCAGTGGTAGAGCACTTGCCTAGTAGGCCCAAAGCCTCAGATTGAAGTTTCCTTTTTTGTTGTTTTTCTGGGGATTTTGCCCTGTACCCTGTGTTTGCAAGGCAGGTACGGTGCCACAAAGCTAATCCCCAGCCCAAAACCTTGGATTTAACCACAGCACCCAGAGTCATAATTAAAAAATCCAAGAAAGATTTAAGGGTTTCTGAGGTAGCACACACCTGTCATCCCAGCACTCAGGAGGCTGAGGCAGGAGGATCGCCATGAGTTCAAGGCCATCCTGGAGGCCAGTCAGCCCCAGCACTCGGGAAGCTGAGGCAGGAGGATCCCTGCACATTCGAGGCCAGCCTGGACTACACAGCGACTCATTATTACCTAATGATCCTAAACTTCTGTCCTTTTATCCCAGTTTGCCTCTTGGGAGGCGGATGAAATCCCGAGTCTCAGTTCTCCTCCCACTGTTGTGAGGAGGAGGCCGGGTGACCCCAAACGCCAACAGGGTAGAGGAGGCGATCCGGGACCTTGGAGGGCCGGGCCCGCTCTCCCTCATGAAGTGGTTCCTTCTCTCATTATCTCCCATCCCCAACCCCCGCCGGTTCCATCGTAGCCCCCTCTCCGCCTTGCTCCTCTGCTGAAATCACCTTTCCCGTCCCACCTGCCGCAGTCTCGGTCCCTGAGCGTCCTTCCAAACCCCCCTGACCGCCTGATGGGACCTCGCGGCGGAGATGCCTTCCCGGGCTGTGGCTTCTCTCCGGGGACACAGGCACCTCCCTGTCTCGCAGGCAGGCAGCCCAAAGGGACCTTCGTCATGCAGGGTTACAGCGTCCGGATGGCCCCGCACCTGCGCAAGGACTCCAGGAGAGAGAGCTGCTTCGAGCTGACCTGCGGGGACAGGCGCAGCTACGAGGTGGGCCGGGGGCAGGTGTCGGCTACGCTTCCCTCGCTGGGAAAGGCTGGGTCCCGACCCCTCTCCACCGCCCAGCCCGGCCGTCTCCCCCTGGCTGTGTCACCCGCTCCCTTCTGCCGCCACCCGGCTGGCGCTGACCCCAGGCTCTCCTGGTTCCCGCCCGTGATCGCACTACTTTCCGGCCGGCGGAAAACCCAGAAGGAGACTAAATCGGCAGTGGCCGGGCCGTCTGCCCCGCACACGTCTCTCGTGCGAAGTCACCTTCCCCTGGGTGTGTGGGCCACGCGGTGACACTGGTCCCTGGGGGTGACAGCGTTTCTGGGGGACCGGGGGACTTTGTCCGAGCAAGAAAGGCTCATTACGCACTGCGTTCACTTCTGCATATTTTGAATCTTGACTTCCTGTGTTTGCAAGTCATTATAAAATTAATTAAAACAACAAAAATTATGGTTATGGGGAGATGATTTTCACACACACACACACACACACACACCAAGTTTCCTACTCAGTGGTCATTTTTATTTTATCTCAGCTTTATGAAAGCAATGTAGCAAAACCTTTACTAATTTATGAAAAAAAAACACGCTAAGATTAAATCAACTTAAGTAACCCTTTTGCTCTTTAAACTTTTTCTCAGCATTCAACTTTTCTTGGTTCTACAGTATCTTAATCCTTATTTCCATAAAACAATCTTCCTATCCATTCTGCAACTTGTATGATGTTTCCAGTTTTTGAAGTACAGATTGTGCCGAGTGTGTTTCTAATTTTACCATTAAATTCTGATGAGACTTCATCCAGATAAGTTTATGTGAAAAGCATAGACCAGTATTCCTAGAAATCTGTTGCAGAAATGTCTTGCAGGAGTGAGAATCATAATGTGTATTCATATAAGTATGTTGCAGAAATCTAGGCTTCTTAGAGAACAGGTGTCTCAAACTCACTCGAATAGCCAGATAATTAAAATGTTTTCAGGAACATTTGCTTCAAATTGATTCGTTTTTTTAAAAAAAAAAGCTATGGGTGCCGGGCGTGGTGGTGCACACCTGTAATCCCAGCACTTGGGAGGCTGAGGCAGGAGGATCGCTGTGAGTTCGAGACCAGCCTGGGCTGCATAGTGAGTTCCAGGGCAGTCTCAACTACATAGTGAGACCCTGTCTCAAAAAAACAAAAAAAAAAGGGGGGGGCTGGGGATTTAGCTCAGTGGCCCCGCACCTACCTCACAAGCACAAAGTCCCGAGTTCAATCCCCGGTACCTCAAAAAAAAAATGAGGGTTCAGTGCTTGCCCGGACCATTTTCTGAATTGGAAAGTAGTTTATTTACTTTCTTCTCTTCTTAGGCCCATGGAATTCTAGTCGTTGTTGTGGTCTGTGTGTGTCCTTGGGGTCTTTCCCTGCTGTTTATTCTCTTGGGCCCTCAGCTCTTCATCTGTAATTGTTTATTCTCCTACCTCCCCACACTCCAGGAAGGCTCTGCAGCAAGCAGTTCCCCTACCTGAAATGACCCGCCACCTCCCACCTGCCCTTTATAAAGATCCACCCCAAGTGGCTTCAGCCCTGGTAATAAGTGTTTCCTGTGTCCACCGACCCCCTGGCTGCTGCTGTAGCTCAGTGGTTTGGTGCTTGCTGAGCACCCATGAGGCCTTGGGTTCTACCCTCAACACTGGAAAGAAAAATATTCATATTATCAGTGCAAGGGCTCCCACCTCATATACAAGTTGCTTTGCTCTTTTTTTTTCCTATAAACTTTTCCCAAATAAATGCCTGATAAAGGAATAGATAATCAAATGAACACACATGAACATAAACATCTGGATTTTAAAAACTGTTATTGGTTTGGCATGGTGTTGCATGCCTTTAATCCAAGCATTGGGGGGAGGCTGAGGCAGGAGGATCGCAGCAAATTTGAGGCCAGCCTGGTTTACATAGTTCAAGGCTGGCTTAAACTACATAGCAAGACCCCATCTTTAAAAAAAAAAAAAAAAAGTCTGTTATCTCTGGGGATGCAGAATTGCTGAAGGAAAAAATAATTGCTTTGAGTCAGCTGTTTTAGCCTTTTTTTTTTTTT